CAGAGATACCAGGTCTTTATCATCTGCCTCATACAATCTATGGGCACAAGGAAAATATTTTTCTACTGATAATTCTTACCTACTTATTTTTCCTTGAAGATTGGAATGCAAGGCTAGATTGGAAAAAAAAATCACATTAGAAAGGTCAGTATAAGAAGTACCTTCACTATAGCATTATATTTCTTGAAAATTGTCTGTTTCTTAAAATTTTATGTTCTACAAACCTGGGTCCTGGTTTTGCAAAGACTGAAAGCTTACGCTCCAATAAATGTTAGTCTATAAGGTGCCATAGGACTTCTCATTGTTTATGCACATTCAGACTAACACGGCTACCTCTCTGATACTAAAGATTTGTGTGCGCTTTAGTTTACATACTTTACGTGGCTCCATTGAAGACAATGGGATTGCTTTTAGTGGAAAAAGATAAACTCATGAGTAACCCATAGCAGTGTCAATGTCCACGTTTAGTTTCCACCAAATTCACAGATGAGCCTTAACATCAGGTTGCAGATATTGTTGCAAGCTGTCATAATCTGACTTGTCATCTGACAAAGATATATGGAACATAAACATTAGTAAAGCAAATATATGAAGGAGCGAAAAACACAATTTACAAAAACGTGCAAAATTTGTTAAGAGTTCTGAGTTAGAGGATATCTTCCTGCTGGGAACTTCCAGAATGCTGTATTCTATTAATTTCTTAATGAATTCTTGTTGCTCTTAAACTAAGAATCTTTTTTTATATATTTAGCTGGAATATTGTATGTAGATCTGGGTGCCATATTTCAAAAAAGACTTGGTCAAACTGGAGAAAATCCAAAAAAGAGCAGCAAAAATGATTAAAGGTCTAGAAAGCATGAACTCTGAGAGAAGATTGGGGGGGGGGGAGGGTTTGTTTAGTCTGGAGAAGAGGTAACTGAGTAGAGTCATAGGTTTCAAATATATAAATAATTGTCAGAAGGAGAACGGAGAAAAATTGTTTACCTTAACTTCTGAGGATAAAATAAGAAACAATGGGCTTAAATTGTCCCAAGGCTGGTTTAAATTGGACATTAGGCAGACTTCCTCTGAGTCATTAAGTGCTAGAAAAAATTGCCTAGTGAGTGGGTCATCATTCTAATTGACTCTTAAAAAAATCTCCAAACCCCTGTTACGGATGGTCTAGGGCAGAGGTTCTGAACCAGGGGTTCATGAGCCCTGTCAGTGCCCCCATGCAGGGCTGAAGTTGGCATTCTCCTGAAGCCAGGAGAGGTGTGCGACTGAAGCCAGAGACCTCTCCTCTCCACGTACTACTGAAGCTGGGAGTTGTGTAGGACTGAAGCGCCTCATTTGGAGCTTTCTGCGAGCAGAAGCCCTGAGCCCATTACAGGAGGTGAGGGGAGCGGCAAGGGTGTTGCCTTCCCCACCTCCAAAAACTGTAGTGCCTTACCCAGGGTGAGACGTTCTGGGGCCAGCTTCACTCCACGCACACCGTCTCCCCTAGGCCCAGCCCTCTGCATGGGTTGTAGGTGGGAAACCAGAAACAGATAATGTAGAGCAGCTGCTCCACTGGCTGGTGGGTATCAGGGAGTGGTCAGCCGTGACATTCCCCCATGTGCTGTGGCACCCAGGGTTGCTCTTCAGCTCCCAGCCCTCTTTGCTCACAAAGCTGGTAAGAGCGGCTCAGGTGGGGGGACCCAGCTCCGTGTCTGGTGGAGCCCTTGGGTAGCAGCCACTGCAGGGAGAGTCCTCTTGGCACATAGCCCCTAGCTATCCTTCTCCCTGCACCCTGTGCTACCCCCTACCCACGCATTCCCTAGCTATTCCCTGCCTACGCCCTGAGCACTCTTCATACTTCTGCTTTGAATTATATTTTTGGTGTGTCTCCCCACAACCCAGACAAGTGGGTGGCCTGATGAGGTGAGTCAGGAGATGGAGGTAACGTTCCCTCTGTGGATTTTGCTATGCAGAGCTGGCCTGAGCCCCGCCATCTCTTTCCTTCCCCCCAAAATAAGCAGTCAAACTATGCCTGTGCACAAGGGTCCTCTGGAGCCCTGAGGCTCCCCCATCCCTGCTTGGCCTTCGAGTTTTAATAGACTATTGAAGGTAAGGATGATAAATTGTGGTTATCTGACTAATCGTGTAGTCGATACAATTTGTATTGACTATATGATGAGTCAATAGGACTGCTCTCCAGAGCCACAGCAGGAGTAGTTCCAGGAGCTGGCTTGAGCTGGGACTAAGCAGTCCTGGCTCCTGCTGGCTCTGGGAGCCACTTGCACTTTACAACCTTGCATTTTAAATATAGTTTAACTACTGTATACAAGCAGTCCCCGAGTTACGCGGATCCGACATAAGTCAGATCCGCAGTTACGAACGGGGATTTTCTCACCCCGGAGGACTGGAGCGGCGGGACGCCTGGTCCCGCCACCCGCCTCCTCCAGGGCAAGAAAAGCTGCTCCCCCTCTCCCTGGTCTGCTGGGGGGG